AAAGTTCTCCTGGGAAAGGCAGCATGTTTTGGATTTCAAAATAAAGTGAACTTTGGATTACTAATGCTCATCTCCAAGGTATGCAAATGGGCATTAGACATAGACTAGATTTCAAGGTCACTAAGAAGTCCTTGTGATTAGAAATGCAGGTCAACAGAGCCAGAAGTGGAGACCCTGCCAAGAGAGCCCCAGGTGGGGCTGTGGCATCTCAATAACTGAGGCTCTTTTAGTACAATGAAAAGTCATGTGCCAGGATGCCAGCCAGCTGTTGCTTGCCTGAGGGCTTGAAGATAGGCCTGCAAGCACTTGTGAACCAGAGCCATGAAACAGGCCACTTTTACCCAGAGCTGTCCCCAAACTCTGAGCCAAAGTCTGTGGCCCTGGGGGCTGGCCAGCTGCTGACTGAGGCTATGAGAGCCACTCCTGCTTTGCCCCAGGACCTTCAAAGGTGCAGGCCTCAGGCACTGGCACCCAGTGTGCTTCTCTATAATGGGGGCTAGAGTACAGGGTGGAAATATTATTAAAATAGCATTATAACTGGGATTTCCATTGTACCTTATAGATTCCAAACATGTTTTATTTATTTATTTTTTTCATTTTATCTGAGTTACTTCTTTTTAAGTTTCATGGATGTGGAAGACTTGCTCAAAGTCACAGAGTAAGCAGCAGAGATGGGGTATGATTTGGTCCTTTGGCTCCAAATCCCATGTCATGAGTTGTCCAGCGACTGTCACTTGCCTTCCGAGGTAGGGACAACAAGGGGCCTAGGCCTAATGATCCAGTGTCCTGTGTGTTTTCTCTGTCCCGTTTGCTGTGGCTGCCCTTGGGACTGAAGTGTTAGCTATAGTCTAGTGGTTAGAAAAGGCACTTTTCACTTCTGCTGTGAGAAATGACCAGGATAAAAAAGGGTCTCAGACCTCCTTTGAAAATGGCCAGCTTGGCCCTCCTGTGGAATTTTCAGATTGTGGGCTTCTATTTCGTAGGCTGCAAGACTGAGAGATGCCAAGGAAGCTACACTCCTCATCTCCAACCCTGACATAGCTTATGTTGCCAAGCTGGACTAAGAAGATGGATGGCTTAATGGGTGGGACAGGTAGAGTGGGGTTGGCTAGGGATGATGGCTGAGGGCCCGCACTTCTCAGTATTTAGGCACGAGCAGGCTAGGCCTGCCCAGAAACTGACACCCAGGCAGTAATGTGCTGTGAGGGCAGGGACGGTGCTTGCTGATGCTGCTGTATTGCTATGCCCTGCCCAGAACCTGTGGCCCATTAAGTATCCAATAAATAAATGTTGGCTGAACTTCTGATCACTGAGCTGTTGTATCTGAGCCATGGCTAAATATGGACCAGTTGCTTCCAACGGACCAAGACAGGCAGCCTGGGGGTCTCCAGACGTGGAGCTGAGTGCATCAACAGTGGTCAGACAGGCGTGAGGAGATGAGCCATCTTCAGGAAATCAGGCTTCTGCTGGCAGTCACAAGATACAGGCCCAGGGCTTAGACACAACATGGGACAGCCTGGGAGGTCTAAGGTAAGTTAGAGTGCATCACAGATCAGTGGTACTCAGAAACCAGGGAGGTGCCATTCAAGACTCCAGGCAGGTAGCAAGTATCCAGAAAAATCAATCTTTAGGAAGAGGGTTTTAGAAACCAGGCTGGGGATGTTCTGTGTATGGGGTTTGGGGGGAGGGGCTTGCAAGAACAAGACAAACCTCACATACTACATAGGACCTGGAACTTAAAGATAGAAGATCAAGGCAGGGCAGGTACCCAATAATCAGAACTGGTCAGACTCCTGGCTAGGTGACCACCCCAAGGCACAGGAATGGGTTGAGGCATTTGGCTTAACTTTATCCTGTTACTGAGGTCTGGAGCCAGGCTGGGCCTGGAGATGGGGTTTCAGGTGTTGTGCCAAGAGAGAAGAAGGTTTCAGAGATGGGAAACTAGGCAGCATCTGGCAAAGGAGTGGCTTTTACGAAATAAAATAAAATGTTGCATCTCCCCGGGCCACAGGCAGAAGGACAGGAGCCTGGTGGTCCTGGACATGTTCCCTAGGAATCAAGCTGGTCAGTTATCACCTGTGATCTTCCTCCTGAACCCCCAAGTCTGTTCAGGAAAAAACACAGGCAGAAGAAGACAGGTTCCTGCCCTTGGAACTTATGGTCTATTGGGGACGCGAGACCATGCATTCAATGAAGCTCTGAGCAAGCACAGGTACCAACAAGCCCAATTAAGACCACCGAAGAGACAACACTGCTGCAAGTCTGGGGGAAGGAGGGAACTAAAGGGAGATGTTCCCCAGGAAGGGAGAAGAGTGACAGGGTTTAGTATAGTCTAAAAAAAAAAAAAAAAAAAAAAAGTAAGTTTCAGGGAATAAACACCTTCAATAATTAAAGTCATTTTGATAGCATCTCTATCATCATGCTGAAATGAAACCTCCTCATCTTACACACTGAATTCTCCTTAGAACATGCTCCAGCAGATATGGCTTATTTCCCACCGAATCAGAGAGAAATGACAATTCCCTCTGGAGCTTTCTTTCCCAGGGGCAGGAGAGTGTAGATGTGGATTGCTCCTTTATGCCTCCAGGTACCCAGAAGCAGAGAGAGGTGGGTGATATGGTGGGGGCTGCAGACCCAGGGCCAGGGCAGGCCGTGGAGTGACCCTGTTCCCCTCTGAAGGCAGGGGAGGCCCAAAAGACTGCCGGATCCTGTCTTCGCAGACTCCTGTCCCCCAGGAATGTCAGGATGCCTCCAGGTCCCAACACCCGAGCTCCTGGGAGATCATCGTGGTTGCTCTTGGCACTGTAGGATTTTGCCCATTGGCCATGAGTGGAATTCTCCACAAAGTTGGAGGGCCTTGCTGTTTGAAGCTAGGCAAGATCCAGAGCTCCTGACTCCCACCACAGTGAAAATTGCCTGATGAGTTCCCCTAGCATGTCCTCGGGGGGCAGCCCATGTCCTTCCTCAACATCTCCTTCTTCTAACATAGTCACTGTTGTTTCCTCTTAAGTTTCTAGACTTTTCTTGTTTAATATATGTGGACAAAAAGCATTTAGCAGTTTTCACTGTATTTGTCTCTAGGTACAAAGAGAGGCCTCGCCAGCTGAAGTTCAGAGGAAGAGCACTGTCAGCAGAGGCATGAGGAGCAGGATCGTGCCCACTGCCCAGCTCCCTCCTCCTTTTTGATCTCAGTGCCTCGGCCGCACACGGGTGGGGAGCACCTCATGTCTAAGTCCCATGGCTTTGGGGAAGCCAACAAGCGAGCAGATGCCAGAGAGCCATTGCCACTGAAGTTAGTTATCATGTTTAAGGCCACTACCAACCCCAGGACACCCACCCCCAGGCAAGCCAAGGCCTCCTTCGCACCCTCCCATCCTGGGCCCTGTCAGCTATACCACTTCCTCTAAATGGTCCCTTTGCCTTCCCAGACCTGGAATGTCTCCCCAAGGAGAAATGTTGACACAGATGTGACTACCCTGCATCAAAGCTAAAGAATAGCCCCAAATAAACCAAAGTAAAACACTTCATCAGTTTTGACAAAGGACAAGGTACTTCCATCCCCACTAGGCGTCTGATGAAAACACAGGCTCCAAGGGGCCCGGACTGCTAGGACCCTAAACAGAAGCCAGGCCAAGGGGCAAGTGAAACCCACCAGCCTGCCAAGCAGAGCAGCCTCAGGCTACGTGCTCCTTGAGAGCCCCCCTCCTCTGCCAACAGAGCCTGTCCCCCTTCTGAGTGAGGATGGAGAGGATATTGTAGAGCCAATGTGGCAGGAGATAACAAAGAAAAATATGGTTCTGGGCCAGGAGTAGGTGCCCAACTAAGACCCAAGAGCTCTTGGGGCTGTAGAAAGTGCATTCAGGAAGGCTGCACTTCGGGAAGGTCTGGTGGGCAGGAGGGAAGGGAAGAGAGTGAGTCCCAGAGAGCCCTGACTTTAGAGTATTAGGACTGCGATCACTTACAGAAGTCATTTCCAAAGGGGTTTATTTTTAGTCTTGGTTTCTTTACATTTCTTTGTTTTTTTATTTTTAGTAGAATTCTGTTCCTCCTCCCCCCACAAAAATAAATAAATAAAAACAGAGAAAGGAAAAATGGTTCTTTCTGAAGTTGGTGGGTTGCTCCTGGCACCTCCCACAAGCCCTAGAGCCCCAGGACACGGTGTGGAAAACACTCACTTGGTCAAGCCCTTCTTTCAGTGGTGCTCCAACCCCAGGTGCCTGGCCCCTAAACCAGAGGAGAGGCCCTTGGCTACCTGACAATTGAATATTCAGGGCAGCTAGGCCTGGTCCGTGTCCACAGGTGATGCTCCCACCTATTCCTCAGAGTCTCTCACCTGGTTCTGCCTCTCTGTGGTGGGAGTCGCAGAGGTGGCAGGATGAAGAAGTTGGGAGCACTGGAAATGTTTCGGCCACACTGGGGAGGGAGCTGTTGTGGGAAATTGCGTGCCACCTGGAGGACCAAGTGTCTTGCTTGAGCTCAGTGGGAAGGCCCCATTCAGAATGGTTGGGCTCCTGCTGATGCAGAGGCTGCCAGGCCAGGCCAGATACTGGCCCAGGGGAGAGGGGCAGGGACGAGATCACCCACCAGCACACCCTGTGAGGTGCTGCAGACTCCTACACAGGGTGTGTCCCTCGCTGCCTACTGGTCTTTCCCTCAAATCCTGCCCTGTCTCTCTCCAGTGACTCAGGACCACAAACTCAGTCATCATCTCCTGCTTTACCCCAGTCATCCTGCAGCGAGCACATCCCAGCTTCCTGCTCCCAACTTTGTGGCCTCCCATTCTAGAGCATTCTCAGTCAGCTCATGTCCCCCATGTTCCCCCCTCCCTCCCACCCTGGGAATCTGCAGAGAGGTGCCTTTTACCCAGTCCTGACTTCATAGCTGCTTCTACCCAGGAACCTTCCTTCCTGCTCCGTTGTGGCCTTTGCCTTGTGCTCCCCCTGTTCCCCACCCCCAACCCCCGCCCGCCTGCGCAGAGCTCCAGGAACACAGCAGTCCCATTGCTGCACTCTCGTGTGCCTTTATTGAGCTCCCACAGAGTGTGTGGTACTATGCTCCAGGGTTCGGAGCCACGGTCTAGTCAAAAGGAGATCAAAGCTAGTACAGAGAATGTTTCATAGCTGCTCACATCTGGTCAGGGGGAGGGGAGGGGAGAGCTAATCACAAAACAAAGTCCTATTCCAAAGCAACAAAATCTCCTCTGGGAGTAATAGATATTCTACGCGCGCACGTGCACACACGCCCTGGATGGACACTTGGGTGCACCCAGTGGTTGCATATGCATGCATATACAGTGTTGTGGGTAAGTAAGCAACTGTATATGCTGTCCGTGCGCAGGCACGCACACACCATCGCACAGACAGGATCTGGCTTATTCTATCAAAGACACTAGCCTCCAGGTTCTAATGAAGCCTCTGCCCTAGATGCCTGCAGCATGCAGAACCTGGAGATCGGAGAGTCACAGTAAAGGACAATGGGTATACATGGGAGCATCTGTCCCCGGGCCCAGCAGCGGCACTGGAGGTCGCTCGTGGTCAGCGACAGCAAAGACATTGTGAAAGGCTCACAGAGCAGAGCTGAGCAGCTGGAGGTCATCTTTCCAGTGTCAGGGCCACCTGAGCCCTGGCGAGTTCCCCAATCTTCAAGGCAGAATTTAAAACTCTGGTTTTCGAGTGAATAGTCCTGCAAACAGTATTCTTGTCACAGTGCCGCAGATCGAGGTGAGTTTTTCTCGCTCGCTCGCTGCAGCTTCCCACGTGTGCTAACGCATTTTGTAGTCATTAGATACAGATGTTTCACACAGCTGTCCTTTGAAATCCAAGTCTACTGTGAAATCAAGGTCTCGCTGCAGAGAAGGAGCAAAGGGTCACAGCATCAGTGTGGTGAGAAGTGCAGGTCCCACACCCCTCCCTGCAGGCAGAGGGATGGGCAGCTACTATGCTCCTAAAGTTTGCTGGCTAAGGAGTTCCTACCAACAGCCCTCGGGAATCTATTCTGGTGCCCCATTATCCTCAAAGGAAGTTCTTTGATTCCTAACCTAAATCCTTCCTGTCATCATATAAACAGTTTCCTCTGATTTCATCCTGGGAGAATATAGAGTAACAGTCTCTGCTCTCAAAGCCCCTCTATGAAGAGCTAGAGGCTGTGCTCCAGGCTGAGAGAGTCCAGGTGGGGAAGGATGCGCTAGAAAAGTCTCAAATTCCCAAGCTTTTAGGGGCCAACCCAAAAAGGTTGTCTAGTAAGATCTAGTTACTAGTATATCCAAACCCAACTTCTTTCTGCCTCATCTTGTAACTTTTCTGATTGTGCACAAGGCACTGGGTCACCTCGGTGAGTGGACACCTGGGACCAGCCCTGTGGTCCCTTCTCTCTGACCCTTGCCCACACGGAGACCATCTTAGCACTCACCACATTTTTGGCATTTGGCTTCATGGAGATGGACCCATAGAGCTCTTCCCCCCTCCGGACGGTGAGGTAATCTTCCAGGTAGAAGACAGTCTGCTTCCAGTGGGTGTAGGGGGCATCAGGGGCTGAGGGGCAAAGGATGGGTGGGTAGGACGGAGCAGTCAGAGAAGACATCTCCAGAAGGGCTGAGGCTGGGACCCTGCCTGCAAGTCACTGGCTTTCCTCGGGACTCTGACCCCCACCCAACACTCTTGTTGGGTCAGGTGCCAGCTCCGAGCCCACACCAGAACTCCTCCTCAGCCTCAGGGACACCCTCTTTTTATCAGATAGCCACCCCTCAGGGCTGTGGGTCTTAGGTGTGGATCATAAGAGAACAAGCTGATATTACAATTTCATACAAAAAGGTGGAGGATGAATACCCTCTCACCAACTACCTAACACAAATGAATCTCAGAGTGCCACTGTGTGTGTGTTTTAGTTTAACAGAGTGAAGACTTTCCAACAGTGTAGGGGAGAAATTCATAGAGTAGGGCATCCTGTTTCCCCTTAAATGATATCATTTATGCAAACACCACAGCTAACCCAGTTTCCCCACTTCCACTGCCAGCCCAGCCCTACAAATAGCTTTCCCTGCCTGCCTCTCTGCCCTAGAACCAAAATTAGTACCCTTGGCCCAGGCTCACCAGGGGTCTCAGCTGTGCTGACCAACTGGCTCAGATAAAAATGAGGGATGACTCTCTTTCCACAGCCCCAATGCTTGGCCCACACTGATGCTTGAATCTCCTCTGTATTTGCCATTAAATCGCACACATCCCTTTAGCACAGTGTGGATTCCACAGCTCCATGAGAGACATAGCTAATGGGCCATCAGCAGCAGCAGCAGCCATCCCTGGAATACTCTTTCCCCCCTGCTCCCTGCTCATCAAGCTCTCTCTTCCTCATCCTTCAAGGTCACTTCCCCTGTGAATCCCTGCCTGACCACCTGCTGGAAAACAAATCAGTTTCACTAAAAAAGAGATGTTGACAGGAAGCCAGGAATGTTGACAGGAAGCCAGGAAGGCTGGTCAACAACCTTAATTGTTCTAACCTTTAGTTGAGATATTGTTAGCTGAAGCAGCCTCCACCTTGTTTGTCCTATGTAAGTTTCTGTTATTTTCCTGCCTAAGGGCTACATGTAAATTTCTGTTTAAGTTGCCTAAGATGTTTTCCCCAAAGCCTCAATAAAAGGGAATGGCAGGGCCAGATCAGTAAGTAGTTCTCCCAGTAGAGTTGGACTACCGTCTGGCCCCCCATATCACCAAATTGAATTTCTTCAAGTCTCAAGTCTCTTCATTTGTGTGCAGCCCTTCTCCAGAACCCGAACCCTGAATTAGAACTCTTTCTACGTGGGCCATGAAAGAGATTCCTATAACCACCCACCTGGATTAGGGCACCCTGAGCCTGTGTGACCAGGGTGTCTGTCATGGTGCAGCACAAATGTCTTTTTTGCCCACTTGTGTGTGTCCTCCCCAAGACTAGAATCTCCATGAGGGCAGGAACCATGCCAGGCCTGTTCACTGTTATATCTTCAGTGCTTACCACCTCACATAGTAGATCTTTAAGCACTGAAAAAATTATTTGATATAAAACCAGACTAGATAGACATCCCATGAAGCTTCAATGCATCCATAGATGCTCAGTTACACTGAGGGCTTTGAATCTAAGAACAGTAGAAGATCCCATCTTATAGTCAGTTTCTCTTGGCCCTTCAGGCACTTCTCTTCCTCACGAGGATACAGGACTCGTTAATACTGATTTCCTCTTTGCTTAGGACCAAAGTTAAAGATGAGACGACTTGGGGGAGAACATAAAATGGCTTTTAAATACTACAAAAAGCTATCATATGGAAATTCATGTGTGACCTTGGAGGCAGAACAAAGGTTAGTCGGTGGAAATTAGTAGAAGGCAGACTAATTCACCAAAAGAATTAGAACTGTATCACAAGCTTATGATCTATCTGTGGTCCACTGACTTGGGATTTATCATGCACCACGTCAGATCAGGTGACCTCTATCATCTTTCAAGCACCATTTGAATGGTGATAAAGACTTTGTCTTTCTTTGCCCTTTGCAATAAACTGGCTTGATCAAATATCAGTGGTTTGGATTCAGACATGAGTAGCCTTCAGTGTGTGCATGTGGGAAATCGATGCAAACTCAAGGTCCTAGAGGGGGAAGAGCAGCCTGAACATTTGGAAGGGCTTGAAGGAGGATCATGGGCATGTAATCCGTGACTCTCCCATCCTGGATCCCCAAACACATCCAGCCTTCCTGTCCTCTAGTCTAAGGCATACTGCTGTCCACAGATGAAGTGTGCCTACCTCCAGCATCTTCCCTGCCAACTGCATCTACATAAATTGTCAAAAGACATTCTCCAGTGTGTGTGGAGAAGAGCAGTGTACGACTGACAGCACTCTCACCCCCATTTCCACCTACAGCAGCTCAGACAGGAGTATCTCCAGGTCTTATAGACCTTCAGGCAAGAGGATTCAAGCACCTTTCTTCTTTTACCTAGTCAGATGCCTCATGAGAATCTCAGAGACTTCACTGGCTCAGATTTGCCAGCCATCAAGCCTAGGAGTCTGACTCTGATGGTAGCCCCCAAAAATATGCCAGCCTTGGGTTGGAGGAAAGTGATCTCTCCCCTGACATCAACATCAAAAGATTAAGAACTTCCTCATGGTCTCATTTCCATGATGAGTTCATTACCTCTGGACTAAGTAAACCAGTTTACTCAGTCCTGATCCTCCAATAAGATGTCCAGAAGAAACTAAAATTCAACTGTTTTCACTCTATTAGGGATTTGAATTCAGTATTTCTGGGGTGAAAAGGGAGGGAGCAGATTTGCCAAGACTTAAAAATCACCCCCTAGGACCTAGGTGATACAGATGAACAGCCATGGCTGAGATTGTTGAGCAAACCTAATGGTTAACATCTGACAACACCTTTTGGATGGATGTCAGTGGAAAGGACCTTAAAGTTGGCACAACAGACCCAGTTTCCAGCTTCCACTTTGCCACGTATTTGCACATGCCTCTGATTGCCAGATATGGTCCTAAATTTGGGGAGCAGCAACCAGTACAGCCTTGCCCCCTCCCCCCTTCAGATCCTAACCCTCAAAGTGAGAAGACAAGTCTGGCATGAGTGTGACTACAGGGGCCATGGGAACAAACAGCAGGGGTTTCACAAGATTATTCCTGGTGCTTTCGGAAAAAAAGAGTGGAATCCTGCTTTCAGTTTCACTTCCCAATGGGTAAATGGAATCTAATGCTCTTCCCATCATGAACCAAGAATTAATATTGATCCAGTCCTGTGCATCTGGGATCCTTAGAAACAGAAAGGAAATCCTTCTTGGTGTCAGAGTGCAGAGGGTCTATGTAAAGCCCACTGCCAAACTCTTGCTAACTGGTAAGGACATCTGCTATGTTTGGGAAGCAAAACCCCACGCTGACATCTCAAGGTGTCTGAGAAAGCAACTAACCAATTTAATTTCCCCTGATAGCTGTGTATGTGGAAAGGCTGCAGCAGGAGGGATCCGTCAGCCAGCAGGCATGCAGTCAGAAAGCATACCGCAGTCAGGAGATGGAATTGCCTTTCCAGAGGACGTCAACACTGGTGAGGCAGGCTTGCACAAGGGCAGGGGTTTTCAACCTTGATCGTGCTTCACATTCACCTGGAGAACTTAAGACACAGATTCCAGGGCCCCACTCCAGAATGACTGACTCAGTAGGTCTAGGGTGGAGCCAGAGAATTTGCATTTCTAACAAGTTCCCAGGTGACGCTGATGCTGCTGGTCCATGGGCCACACTGGAGAGCTTCTGCTCCAAGACACAGGAAAGGAGGACTACAGAAAATCCAAATGTCCATTCAGAACCCAAGTTCCTGGTATTCTGTGCACAGGGGAGGGGACATAATGCCATGACTGTGAAAGACAAGGAGGCATGCTCAGACCTTGAACCGGACCCAAGGTCTTTGAGCTTATAAAATATACTCATTATCCTCTTTCTCCTAAGGACTTGTGTGGGACTATGGTGGGAGTGACCAGGAACAGGGAAGAAAGAAGCTGTGGTTGGAAACTGAGCACTTAAAATTCTCACCATTTCCCAAGCAGCACAGGGCTGACTTCTTTGATTCTGAACTTGAATTTAACCAAGACTCCTGCTTGTGAGAGGGGCATCAGGAATGTTGTCCCAGCCACCACAGAGCCAGAGAGCCATTTCCAGACAGAGTTCCCCAGGCTGTCTGCTTAACCTCAAGGAGCCCAGCTGAGACCTACAGGGCTGGAGCCCAGGCTTTCAAAAGCCAGAAATTTCCCAGATTGCCTTGAAAATATGCCAGCCTTGGGACCGACAGGATGAGAACCGCTGCTATAGATCCTAAGACCATTGGAAAACACAGATATTTACATTACGATTCATTACCAGTAGCAAAATTACAGTTATGAAGTAGCAACGAAAATAATTTTATGGTTGGGGGTCACCACAACATGAGGAACTCTATTAAAGGGTTGCCGCATTAGAAAGGTGGAGAACTACTGGTCTAGGTAAAACCTCCCTGCTCCATCCTGGCTGTCCCTACTCACCAAGAAGATGAGCTTGCAGGCTGCCCTTCGTGGAAGGGTAACCCCTGAACCGACCCAGACTGGACCTCTGGTTTCCCCAGGGCAGGGAGTGCCAGCACTGGCCTGGCTGATGGAGATGAGAAAACCCTGGTATTGGGAGTGGGAGACACTGGTTCTGGAAAAAAGCCCTTCTTTGAGGGATTAGATAAGTCGCTTGCTCTCTCTGACAACAGGTAAGAGAGGAACATTCTCATCAGGTCTTCTGAAGTGAATAAATCACATCTTCGAATTCTGGTAGAACCTACCAATTCCTGCCACGTGCACGCTAACCCCAACTGCGTGCTCCCAGGTCCCAGGGTGACCCCACGTGAGTGGTGACTCTGAATACATTCCCATAGAGATTTGTAGGATTTTTTTTTAAAAATAGAGATTTGTTTAGGCTCTGCTATGATCCAAGCACTGTCATAGAAGCCAGGAGAGCAGAGACTAATGAGATGTGATCCAGACTCACAGGGAGATCAAAGATTGCAAGATGGGTGGAAATGTTTGAATAAATGATGGCACGCTTTACATTGAATTTCTGTGCCGTTGTTTAAAAAAAGAAAGTAGATGTCTCTGTGACGCTATGGAAGTACCTCCAACACATCTTGTTAAATAAAGGAAAGGTAGCAGAAGGCAGTGTACAAGCTGTGTTTTTTTAAATGCTGTAGTTTGATATTGTACTCTAGTTATGTAAGATGCCACCAATGTGGAGAGCTGGGCATAGGGTTCACAGAACTCTATGTGCTATGCTTGCAACTTCCTGTGAGTCTGTAATTATTTCAAATAAAAAGAATTTTAAAAAAGGTGTATATAGATATGGATGTGCTTGTGCATCACTGAAATTTTTGGAAGGATACAAAAGAAATCCTTAACAATATACACCTCTGAGGTGTGAAACTGGGGTGAATGGGGAAAGGACTTTTTATACCCTTTGGTTCCTCTTTGCTATTGTGTAGAAGCATCACTTTAAACATGGCCATGACAGATCTAAGCACAGGGTGTTAGGGAACCCGAGGAGGACATCTAAGCTTGACCCAAGAGGGAAGGAGGGGATCAAGTACTACAGAGCTGACAGATGAGGCCTGTAATGGGGTGGGCCAGGTGAGAAGGTGGGGGAAGAGGAGGTGTTATGGGTTAAATTGTGTTCCCCCAAAATTCACATGCTAAACCCCTAAATGCCAATACCTCTTAATATGACTATATTTGGAGTTGGGTCTGAAAAGAGGTGATTAAGTTAAAATGAGGCCCTTATGGTGGACCCTAATCCAATCTGGCTGGTGTCCTTTAGAAGGAGATTAGAACATACACGGACACCAGGGATATGTGCACATAGAGGCTATGGAAGTACCTCCAACACATCATGTTAAATAAAGGAAAGGTAGCCCACTCCTCCAACCTCATTTCTCACCCCTCCTTTGCTTTGCCTTCCACCCCTGTTCCATTCACACAAAGCACTTTTGCACTCATAGTCCCCAGTGAGGACACAGAGAGAAGGCAGCCATCTGGAGGAAAGGTCATGACAAGAGTTTCTGACATAATGTAAAGATTCTCTTGTTCCCATGGCACACTGCGGTGGACACAGAGTTGAGATATGCGAGGCAATTCCCAGAGACTTGAGCAGCCTCACTGAATTCAGGGAACTGCAAAGTGCTTTGTGTAAATGGAACAGGGGTGGAAGGCAAAGCAAAGGAGGGGTGAAAAATGAGGTTGGAGGAGTGGGCTAGGGCCAGGTCTCCAAACCCCCACTTACCTGGCTAAGACCTTTGGGCTTATCTTCTACAGGCAGAGAGGCACTCTGCAGGAAGGCTGGGAGGAAGAATGTGGTGGTCTTTGGGAATTAATGAGGATGGACTGAGTGGATATAGTGAGGAAAGCAGGCCATATAGAGACGCCATTTGTAGTCTACTGAATCTGCAGTGAGGCATGGTAGGGAAAGAGAAACCTAATTCCACTGTTTCCTTACCCCCTCATAAAGTATGCTCTAGAAATGCTAAATGAACAAATGCGCATTTGAAAAGGGGCCCAAACCTCTGTCTCTTTTCACTTAATACTCTCTCATAGCTCCAGTCATGGCAGCCACAATTTTATTTACCTTCTCCTTGGGCAGCCAAGAGTTTGGTGACATGCAATTTTCTCAGATTACTTCATAGCTGCAGATGGCTTAAAGATGCCAACTAAGGGTCCTTGGCTAATGCCCAAGTCCTTCCCCCAAGTTGGGGCCAGTCCTGTGTCACTCCCCACAACGCCTCAGTATGGGGGAAGGCTCACCTGTAGAAAACCCCATTTTCTTGTGGCACTTGGTAAATTCAATATTAAAATAGGTGACCAGGGCGTGGATGTAGTCATTGCGCTGGATCTGCAGGCAGAAGGCAGATGTGAACGACAGCTCTTCCGTCTTGACTGTGTAAATGTCCACCTCCTGTAGCCCAGAGAAGAAAGAAGACCAGACACTTAGCACCTCTACCAGGGTTGTGTCCTAGTGGGCAGCTGCATTCTGCAGGAGATTGCCTACTGTACACTCTCCAGGGTGTCATTACTTAAGGGTAACTCCCCAGGCCCAACCCCCCCGCATGACCCCCTCCATCCTTTCTAGGATGGAACAATGGGACAAACAGATATGAGTCAGAACCCAGGGGAACAACACTAAAGGGGTAAATCTGTTGGGGGTGGGACTGATGGGGGGAGAAAAGAAGCTTCATTAGACTGAGCAACCCTAAGCCTAACCCAGATGTCCTCAGAGTGGTTCACCTCAACTTCATTATGTTCATCTAGTGGTTCTCACAGTGAGGTCCCAGAATGACTAGTGTGGGCATCACTTCAGAACAAATTCTGAAGGGAGGGCATCCTAGCCCTACTGAACCGGAACAGCAATCTGTGCTTTATCATATTCTCCCAGTAATGGGGGAACCAGACTTTCATTTCCTAGATGTGTGATATTTAAGCAACTGGCAGTAGGAGACAAGTATTATCACAAGAATGAGGACTGAGCTAAAGAAAGTCCTGCTGGGCATTTATAACAAGTCTGGACAGTGAAAGGAAGAAAGAGAGTGAGAGCGAGAGCAAGAGCAAGAGAGAGAAAGAGAAAAGAGTAAATAAGAAGTGAGAGATTTTCAGTTCTGGCTGGAGAATGAAGAACTAATAATTCTAACGATTTCAGCTGTGAAGTGGCTGAAAATCAATCTTGTGTGAGGAGCTAGTGTAATAAAAGTTTCCACTGTGCTGTTCTTTTCTATGTGAAGAATGTTGGCTGCTGTTTGCTGATTCCAGTGAGACAGGGGAAACTTTTCAAGAGTCCAAAAGGCATCCAGGCAGCTTTCAGTGAGGTCTAAGAGAGGACTTCTCATGGTTGGAATGTGTAGCAAGAATCTCTGTCCTGAGAACTGCAAAAGCCAGACATCTGTGTGTCTGGGATGGTTCTCAGAGGAAACATTGGGAATACATGTTGGGAATAATAAAACCTGTTGGCAATCATTAGGACAGGAATCTGAGGGTGGGAAAGAAGAGCAGGGAAGAGACAAAGTAAGGTAGCAGAAATGCCCTTATCTCTACATATTTCCAGGATAAATAAGTGAAAAGCAGATGCACCTGGGGACCTTCAAAGAGAAGTCCTACCTCCAGGGGACAAGGAGGAGGATGTGTGATCAAGGGAGCCAGCAATCAGAGCCCTGTGGTGTCTGGGGTGAGCAGCTTTAACATCCCTGGGGGAGCTAAGCTCTGACATTAGTTGGGAAGAGGTGGGACTACAGGTTTAAGGGAATGTGGGAGTCACAATAATGTTAAGAACTAAGGGAATGATGAGCCCTGAGTTGGCCATGCAGAAGTAGAAAGCCAGTCCCCTGAATCCAATGCAAGAGCCCCTCGGAAGCATTCCCAGGAAGTGGCCATCTGGTGCTTGCTTGCACACCTTAGAGATGATGCATTCACTACCTACCAGGCAACTGATTCCATTTCCTAACACCTCAAATTGGTGGATCCCTCTGTGTAATGAATGAGAGCCTACACCAGTCTCTGTAATCTCCACCCACAAAATAGGCTGAATGCCTGTTCCAGCTCACATCAAAACCTTTTCTTCTCCAATTGCCTCTGTTTTTCCATTTGCTTTTCCAAAGTCATGCTTTCTGACTCCTTCAACCAAGCCTCTGACCTCAAAGAGCACACTGCTGGCTCTTCCTGCATTTATTCAGCCAACCTCCTCCCCCAACTTCATCCTTCTCACAATCCTTTGTCCTTTCTTCCTAAGGCCCAAGTGCAGGATCCCTCCATCATATGTCATTCTGTTAGTTTGGGCCATCACCCCCTTTCAGGAAGTCTCTTTAGATCCAGTGCCTGTCAGCCTTCATGTTGATCATTATCCTTCCTGGCCATGTGTTGTCCACAGGTTCCCTCCGGCTCAACAACTCTTAGAGCAAGCTGAGCTGGCTATGTTTGTATTAATGGCATGAGCACAGTCCACCAGGCTCCCAGTGCCTATGCTCACTGACTTTTCTATCTTCTTCTTAGTCAGGGCCAGCTAGCCAGCTCCAGGCTCTTTCCAAGGTGTGTGGCATTTTTTCTCTGTCCCCTCTGCCACAAGCCTAGCCTGGTCTTTTTACCCTACTTCTGGCTCATCCCAGCAGCCTTACCGCCTTTGTCTTACCCCACCATTGGACTGGAGCTCTGTACTGACAGAGGCTACACCTTACTGGTCTGTATACCCTCGCTGTGTGACAGGTCTCCTATATGACAACTGTCCTCCCTTTCCCAAGTCTCCTTTATACCAACTGACAAATCTCTCAGATCCATTCAGACTGTGCTGCTCCCTGCATCCAAAACCTCCCATGAGTACTTATGGCTTAGCTAAAAATATCCAAACATATTGACCTGAACACAGGAGGGGAGAACTGGAAAGTGAGCCCTGTGACACATCTAGACCTGGCTCTTTTTCCTTCTGTCACTCCCCTCTCTTCACACACACACACCCCACCCATCTATCAGGAATTATTTCCCTATACGGTCTTGCTCTCAGCTGTCCATCAACCAAATGCCAACTATCAACAGTATTAGCTGACAGTGTTCATTAGGTCCTGCAGGTATTTGCATCTTAATGGGGATGTACGAAGGAATAAAAGCCTCCAAAACAGAAATAATGGAGCTATATATTAAATGGTGCCAATGGAGGCAATGGGTCTTTAGGAGTGGGGCTTGGGCCATCTGTGAGAGTGGGATCAGTTGTGGCTGGGCTTCTGAGACACAGCCGCCCTCTGGGCTCAGCTCTGCTCTCCTCTCAGACCCCAAGTCTACAGACTCAAATGCAGTTATCCTGGCTCCCCCAAACCCAGACCCCCTTGCTGGAAGGTTGCTTACTGGAGTTGCTTACTCTTTTCATAGCAGCAACAGCATAGCTGAGACCCCTGGGAGACCCCATGACTTGGCCTCAGGTGACTCCATGAAGTAGAGGGCTCCGCAGGCATTAATTACTCAGAAGAGCCCCTGGTTGCTGCTATCCCCGCCACTAAACAATGTTACAAATGGTTGTCTCATAGCAGAAGTCTGGTCAAAACAGAGTCTTAATTATAATAAAGTGTCACACTCTGCAGCATTAATAGCATGAAAATAGCAATTAAGTGTGTGAATAAGGGCAAGTGTTTTCCCAACAGGCTCAGCAAGACATTTGCTTAGCACATTAGCAAGATAGCTGCTGGAGGGGTGCTCCTGGTGGAGGAAGCAACCACAGCCAGTCCCCAGCCTTCTCAGAGGTCAGGTAAGGGGAAGGGGAGGGACAGGACTGCAGCTCAGAGCTCCCGTCCTGACACCTCCTCACAGCCTCTCTGCCCCTCTGTAACAAGGTAGGGAGGACCTAGGAAAATTCCAGAGCAGGAGGAATAGGGAAACTGAGACAAGAAAATTAAACAAGGCCTAATAAGTTTGGACAGCTTTACAGACAGTTTGCAGCAAGATCTTATCTTTCCCAGTCAAGGAGCTTGAGAACAAATGACTAATGTTTCTCCTCTCTCACCAGAGAATACATGGCTTAAATCAACCTGGAACTGCTAAGGCAGGAGCGGGAAAGGGGAAGGGAAGAAGGGAGAGTTTATCTCACCCACCAAAGAAGTCAGCTGTCTCAGGGTAGGGGGAACATAAGGGGAGTTTTATCTCACACCTTAAACCATGGGTGGGGAACCTTTTTTCCCGCCATGGGCCATTTGGAATATTTATAACATCATTCAGAGGCCATACAAAATTATCAGCTTAAAAATTAGCCTGCTCTATTTAGTCAAACACTTAACTCACCCCTAATGCCTTGGCAGGGCCAGACCAAACGATTTTGTGGGCCTTATATGGCCCTCAGGCTGGACGTTCCCCACCCCTGCAAAGCCGGCAGTCTCGGGTTTGTCAAGATAAAACTATAAAATGTTTCTCATAAATTCTAGGAAAGCCATAAACAAAGAAAAAGGGAGACCTTGAAGCTAGTCTGTACCAAGATATCCAGCAGAGGAATTTTAAAACTAAAAGACAGAAAAGCACAAAAAGCCAAACCTCTGCTAGGCGGGGCTCCTCAAATTAGCTGAGAGCTATCTGTGCTTCATAAACCAGTGGTATTTTGATAGATTCGCTTCTTTTGAGTCTATAATAAATTAACTTGCTTTATTTATTTAATTTATTTGCTTTATTACAACACAACTGAATGGGGTCACTCATTTGAATTCTTTCCTATGAGACTGACAAGAACCGAGGAGGGGACAGCTCTCCTTCAACTCGGGGTTGTTGGAAATACCTTTTCTGGTATTTCTGGTGCCTGTAACACCTTCTTCACTGAGTCTGGCTGTTTTCCCCTGGCTGCACAAAGGTGCTACGAAAAGGAAGTCCCTTGTTGGTTCCTGGCTGGAATGAGGCAGAGGAAGGAATCCAGGGTGCCTGGGCAGATGGAAGTAGGCCAGTCCACAGTGTGACCAACAGATGTACAGTGTCACACCTGCAGGTCAGGGACAGAAAGCCACTTGGAGCCCATGCATACTGAGGAATTTTATCGGCAAGCTAAAGGCATGACAAACGGCTGCCTCATGGTCAAATAGAACTGCCAGGTGTCATTTTTGACAAATATAGTTGTACAGTGAATTCTATCTATTCCACAATAGCTACAGAAATGTTTGCACTATGGTGAGCATGTTTCACAGTGCATTTTCCTGGTTCTTGATTGGGACACCCAAAGGGAGAGGTTTCAGGGACAGAGGGGCTGATAGGAAGAAGTTAAAGGACACTTTGACTACAATCAATCCTGCCTGGACTTGGAACTGGCCCCATAAAGTAGTGAGAATTATGTCAGTGGAGAGTCTGAGACTTAGACCCAAAGCCAAATCTCTTAGACATCGATAGAATGTTATGAGAGGGAGCCATTCTGCTGAGACCTGTGGGAGGCTCATCTTGTTTTATTTGCTCTCAGGGATGGTTCTAAATGCCGCAGTGACGCTATGAACCAAGGGTTGTGGTGTTAGGAACACCATGTTTGGGGACAAAGCACATTTCTCATCTGTCAGATCAGCAGTTTGCATTAGTCCTTCAGAAGCTTCCTCTCCTCCCCAGTGGCCCTGCGCCCCTTCCCCTTCATGCATTGAAATGTCCCAGTCCTCCACAACTCTTCTTTTTCCAGAAAAAAGGTGATATGTACAGGACAGAGCAGGCAAGTATGTTTTAGCAAGATTAGGGCTGAGTGGGCTGATGAATACTTACATAAATGAATCCAGATTTTTAAATTAAAAAATCAGCTTGAATCATATAAAATTAATATCTTCCTAGCTTTTAAAAAATCACATAGCAATAGTTTATATGACTCAACATAATATATTAACATATATGCATGCAAAGACTTAGCAAAAGGACTGGATAGCTCAATCCAAAGTGTGAACAGTGCTCCCCTCTAGGACTGTGGTCCGCAAACTGCGGCTCGAGAGCCACATGCGGCTCTTTGGCCCCTTGAGTGTGGCTCTTTCACAAAATACCACAGCCAGGGCAAGTCTATTTTGAAGAAGTGGCGTTAGAAGTTTAAGTTTTAAAAATTTGGCTCTCAAAAGAAATTTCAATCATTGTACTGTTGATATTTGGCTCTGCTGACTAATGAGTTTGCTGACCACTGGTCTAGGAGGAGCATGCACTTGAAAGGGAGGTGAGGTTAAGGGGAGCTTTGCATTTTACTCTACCAAATTTGACTCGTTTGCATATTCAATAATAATGAGAACACGCTAGGGATTGATATCATGGGGATGCTGACCAGGAGTTCTGCATCTACACTAAAGAAAGCTTTGGGGGGAAATGTTAGGTCATGAATGAACAAGAACACTAAGGTGGGTATTGCTGTCTGAACATCCCATGGGAGTGTAATGACAATTACACAACAGATTTTAGTACCGAAATGGAGTAGTTTACTCAAACCTGTACAGCCCCTCCTGCTTGCAGGGAGTCCTCTCCTCTATTACCCCCTGCTCCCAATACCACCAAAGGACAAGTACTAACTCTCTTCAATCAGCTGTGCCACTGTGGACTCCAGTTTCTCTCTGTATGATTTTTTGTCTGGTTATCTTGTGATGCCAAAGGCTCTGGCTAAGGTGTTCTTTTTTTTTTTTTTTTTAATAAATATATTTTATTGATTTTGTACAGAGAGGAAGGGAGAGAGATAGAGAGTCAGAAACATCGATGAGAGAGAGTCATCGATCAGCTGCCTCTTGCACACCCCCTACTGGGGATATGCCCGCAATCAAGGTACAATACATGCCCTTGACCGGAATCGAACCCAGGACCTTTCAGTCCCCAAGCTGACGCTCTATCCATTGAGCCAAACCGGTCCCGGCATGGCTAAGGTGTTCTTGACACCAGGCTGGAGCTGGGCAAGAGCTGCCAATGCCTTTCTCCAGGCCCACCATTCTCCAAGGTGGTAGAGCTGGGTTCCTGGCATGCCTACAGGGTGGCACAGCTGGGTTCCCAGCATGTCCAGGTCCAAGAAAGAAGAGTCTGCAGACCTTTATTAAACAGGCATTGGTCACCACTTGCTTTGGGTCCACGATGTCCACCAGGGGCTCCTTCATGGCAACGTCCCGGATGCAGCTCATGTCAAAGCCATAGACATTCTCCCACCCTGAGGGAACAGAGCAACACATGAGGGCCAGCAGCAGAACCCCCAGAAGTCTCCCAGACCCTCCCAAGTACCAGAGCAGGGCATGCCCAAAAGGATGAGGGGCAGCCCGTGCTCCCCCTTATCAGAATAGGAGAAGGATGGCTCATCTGGGTGCAGAGCTTTGCAATGTGCCAAATGCTCATTCACACTAGCTTATGTGTTCAGGTCCCTCCTTATAGAAAAACTAAAGCACAGAGAGGCTGGGTCATACAGCTAGAATGCTACAGGCCTAAGAATGGAATCCAAATTACCTGTCTTCCTACACCTACTTTCTTGTCCCCATCTCTGAGCTAGCAGAGTCTCCTCTAAACTTTCTTACGTGCACTCACATTTCTATATCAGTGCCTTTGCTCCAGGCATTCTGCACCACCTAGAATGGCCAGCTCTCTCTCTTCTCCTGTCCCCACTCACTGAACCTTCAGTGCAGCAAAGAGAAACTTGGGCGTGTAAAGTGAAAGAGGCTATGATTTGAATCGCAGCACCACTACTTATTGGTCAAGCCTTGTGCAAACTCCCTAACCTCCCTGAATCTCAGTTTTCTTATCTGAAAAATGAGGGGGTGTCCATGAGAGTCTTTACCTCTCTCACATGCCATGATATTCTCAGTAAGAAGCTCTCCCATAAGAAATATCTCCAAGGTGGAGCACACACCATCCCAGTGGTGCTCGGTGGCCTGGCCCCTTGGGCAGCTCATAAGATGCTTTGAGAGGAAGAAAGTTTTAGGGTTCAGGATTGGAGAGTAAATGAATGCAAATCTGATGGCCTAAGATCACCCTTAAATGATGATAATCATTTTAATCACTGAGTGACCACCAAGCCCAGGCCAGATTCTTCTTCACTTCAGCTCCCCAGAAACCCCATGGGGATAGATATTTGTATATGTCAGATGAGGAATTAGGGCTGGAAGAAGTTGGCATCTGGCTCACATGCAGTGTTTGGCCCAATGTCACTCATCAGGGAGATGGTGACACTAGGTTTCAAACCCAGCTTGTCCCCTGACCGTGCAGCTGCACTGAGCCAATGTGACAGCACTGGGAATACAATTGCCCTCCACACAATGCAGAGGGTGGCTTGCAGAGGCCTCAGTTACTAGGCAGCTGAACTCTCCTTTTACAGACAGGCTTAGAAATGCATTGAAGGAGAGATGCTTTGTTCTAAAATCTTTCAGGATTAAATTTTTACACTGTTCATCAAATACATGGTATCTTAGGGAACTATGTCCCTCTATGTTTGGGAGAGGGGGTGTGTGGGGAGGGAACAAAGAACAGCCAGTGAGAGCTGTGTTCCTTTGACTCATGCTTTTCTAAGACACATAAAGACCTTCCTCAGGGAGAAGAGGCATAGAACATAACCGTCTCCCAGAGGGTGAACACTGGTGAAAGTCTGGCTTGAAGATAAGATGCCAGTCATACCCCATTAAATCACTGGAGGCTGGTGCCAAATTCCCAATTGAAACCTGAATTTGGAGAAGGAAGCTGCTCAGTAAGCAATAGGACCTGCACCAGACTCCCCTCTAGGACCTGGAAATACCTATCCATCCTCTTCCCAGAGAAACGTTCTCACTAAGACACACTGCCTTTGTCTGGAATCCTTCCTTAAGAGCCTGCGCCATGCTCCTGCTCTTATTCTCTCGTGGCTGTGTCATAAGTTGAATTTAGTGCAAGTGTTGGGCAAATACCTGAGAGAGTCTGTGCAAATTATAGTGAAAGGCCTGGGCTTTGGAGTTCAAATCTGGGCTCTGCCATTTATTTGTTGTGTAACCTTCACAAGAATTTAGCCTCTCAAAGAGTGGCTTTCTTCTTCTTTAAAATGGAGATAATGATAACTTCGGTTGTTTTGATGATTAAACGTGATAATAAACATACAAAGCGAAGACAGTGCATGTAGAGAGAGGTTGACAGATAGTGGTTGTCATTACATGTATGTGGTTGGAGAGTTGGCTTTGCCACTATTCGAGCTGTGTGACCAGGGGCAGTTCAATCTTTTCCCTGAGCTTATTTGTGAAATGGGGAGTTTGGTTCACTAGTTCTGTGTTCCACAATTATATGGGACACTCTCAAAAATACACATACCTGGGCCCAACCAGACCTACTGACTTAGGACCCAAAAAGCTGGAACTTTACAAATCCATACAGGCTATTCCAACCACAGTGTGGAAACTTGGTGTTAGGTAACCTTTAAAGTTCTTCCCAGTCCTCCAGGGGTGAACTTGAAGTCTCATGGCCTTGAATAAACCCTTTCCAGCCATTCCTCACCGTGGGACCCTCCTATCCTCAGTACTTACTGCATAGCTTCTGGCTCAATACAGACCCACATGTAATGCTCTTTCATTCCCAAATATTTAGTGTCCTTACTGCTTCACAATATTCTGTGTTTTAGGTGTGTGTGTTTTTTCAGGAGTTAGTTCATTTCTTATGTCCCTAGCTAGACTACCTTCAGTTATTCAGGAGATAGATCAGCCAGGACATTAGATTTTCCCCTTTCCTTTCTGCTGACCATTCGTTTCCCAAAACCTCTTTGAACATAAGTGAAGCAGAGATGGGAAACCATGCAAATCAAGCAGATTAATTTTTGTTGCAATTCTATCATATCTATCAAATGAGTGAATGTGGATTAAGGTCCATTTGATACCAGGAAATATTGCTATTAATTTTCTGGTGATTTAAAAAATAACACCAGAAATATCTGTGAACTTTTGTAAAAGGATTGAAGCAAACACTTTAAAAGAACTGCACCATGGTGCAATGAATGTAACTAAAGCAACAATGAAGCCCAGGCTTACCAAAACTACTATTAAGTTGACTCAAATCACTACTTTAATAGCTCAGTAGAGAAAAAGACATGTTCTTTCCTGGGGATACATATTATTCATCTATCTCTACTATTTTTTTTACTGACAATTTCCAGCATTAATTTAAAAATTACAAAACACATGAAAAAGGAAAATTGTGTTCCATTACTAAAAGGAAAATAGTCAATAGACTCAAAGGTAGCTCAGATGTTGGAATTATTTTATTTTTTTAAATATATTTTATTGATATTTTACAGAGAGGAGGAAGGGAGAGAGATAGAGAGCTAGAAACGTCTATGAGAGAGAAACATTGACCAGTTGCCTCTTGCACACCCCCTACCGGGGATGTGCCCGCAACCAATGTACATGCCCTTGACCGGAATCAAACCTGGGACCTTTCAGTCTGCAGACCGACACTCTACCACTGAGCCAAAGTGGTTTCGGCCAGATGTTGGAATTATTGAACAAAGACTTTAAAGTATCTATACTAAATATATTTTAAAATCTAATGGAAAAACATGCACAAAAGATACAGAATTTTATTGATGAGATGGAAACTATACAAAGGAGACAATGAAAATGCTAGAAATGAAAATCACAGTAACAGGCCCTGGCTGGTTTGGCTCAGTGGATAGAGCATTGGCCTATGGACTGAAAGGCCCCAGGTTTAATTCCAGTCAAGGGCATGTACCTTGGTTTCGGACACATCCCCAGTAGGAGGTGTGCAAGAGGCAGCTGATTGATGTTTCTCTCCCATCAATGTTTCTAACTCTCTATCCCTCTCCCTTCGTCTCTGTAAAAATTCAATAAAATATTTTAAAAAAAGAAAAGAAAAGAAAAGAAAATCACAGTATCAGAGACAAAGAAATATTTCAATAAGCTTATTAGCAGAAAGGATACATCTATTAGAGAAAATAATGAATAAACTTGAGAACAGGTCAATAAAAAATATCCAAACTTAAACTTATAGAGGAAAATGAACAAAAAAATAGATCACACAAGATCAATGGAACAATATCAAACAACTTCTAACATATGTGTAATTGGAGTCCCTAAAGAAAAGAAAGAATTAGGCAGAAAAAAAAATATTTGTAGAGATAATAGCTGAAATTTTCCCTAAACTAATGAAATCATTAGCCCACAGATCCCAGAATTCCATGGAACCCCAAGTGGGATAGAAACAAAACAAACAAACAAACAAACAAAAAACATATCTAGACACATCAGAGTCAAATTGATGAATATCAAAATAAGGAGAAAATCTCAAAAGCAGCTGGAGGAGAAGAAATGTGAAGTGCTGGAGAACAAATTTCACATTTCATTGGCAAGAGCTGTAGCTCCATCCTCCCTCCCAACTCTGGCCCAGCAATTTGAATTCATTTCTCAAGCTATTGGGACCACCTCAGAGAACAAAGCAAATGCCACCAGGTGCCACTGACAGCTTTCTCCTCTAGACAGAAGGAAAGGTGTTTATAATCATTTTATGTATTTTAGGCTCTTAGGAACAAAGTCAACTCCTTGTATAAATTAGGCCAGAGCCAGAGGCTAGAGCTCTGGGTTTTGGAGGTAAAAATGGAGGAGAAACCATGCACAGCAACGGAGCCCATCCAGAGGTCCTGCCCTCCACCCCTCCAGCTACAGGCCCCACTGGCTCAACAGGCGGCCTTCCTTTTCATCTTTTTCTCACAAGACAGGCAATGGGTGTCCATCCCGCTGACTCAGCAGTTTGTAGATTCATGTATTGGTTGAGATTCATGTATTGGGTAAGAATTTAAACAGAATATTTACCATGTTTCCTTCAAAATTTCCTATAACTCTACTCTTGCCAAATTATAGTAGAAATTAAAAAAAAAATGATTACTCCTTTCTCAAGTTTAAACAGTAGGCTTTGCATATTCCTCTGTAGATTACTTTTATTCCTTCATTTGTTTACTCATTCACTCAACAAAATATGTATTGTGAATCTAGTACAAGCTACAAGCCAGTCATTTGTCTCACTTTCTATGTTCTCTAGTAATTGGCAAGCAAACTGAGAGCATGTTCTGTATTTACTCATTCTTGTATTCCCATGTTGCATGTGGGTGAGAAAAGAATGAAAAGGAGAGGAGAGGAGGGGAGGGGAGGGGAGGGGATGGAAGGAAAATGGAGAGGAAAGAGGAGGGGAGGAAAGGGAAGGGAGGGAGAAGAGAAAATGAAGCTGTTTTCCTAACAATTTATTTTCTCAAGGACCGGGCATGTTTCACTCTCCTGCCCCACTTCAGATTTTTCTTTTTTAGCTGGTTCTTAAGCCAAATGAAATTTGCTTACAATTGTTCCCTTAGCAACCAGCAACCTTTGTGCTTTACTTTTGATTTAGAACTCAGAATAACCAAAATCTTCATTTATTTAAAACAGATTTCTAAATGAGTTTTCCTGTTTTACTAAAAACAAAGCATATTATTTAAAAACACATTTAAATAGAAAACTTAACTGTACTTTAAATTGATTTTAAATGTGTATTTAATTTTTGTTTCTTTGTGTGTGTTTGTGTATATGTGTGTGTGTGTGTGTGTGTGTGTGTGTGTGTGTGTGTTTTACATACTTCAGAGCAAGCATCTCACAAGAGAAAATGGGGCTGAGTGTAAATTTTTTTTCTTTTCCAGAAGCAATAAAAATTGCAGCAGATAGCGCAAGGCTCAATCACATGATCTCCAGTTCTGGGCTGGCACCTGGGTAGCCGTAGTGCCCCTAGTACCTCACAGGGCCAGCCTACTCACAGGCCCTACTCGCTCATTAAAAGGTGCACATGCCAAAGGTTCCCAAACACAACCCAGGGATAGGAGGAGGAAAAGATATGTTTGCTTTTAAACCACGTGGAAGTTCCTTAAAGAGCTGTGCCCAGGGTCGGAGCTCAATAAATACTTAAGTGCACGTGAGAATGAAGACTGCCCTGGAGGTTCTCCTCAGAACACTGCTCGGTGCAGTCACAGCAAGAACCCCAAAGTAGCGGTATAATGCAGCTCCAGGGCACATGTGCCCTATTTAGACATACATTTGATCAGTATTCACAGTTGAGTTGTTTCTGCAACCTACCATGAGAGCACATTTGTCCCAGATTCTAAGCCACTGGAGGCCAGAAAGCTTAGCAATCGGCCAGAGCCAGGAGCAGAAAGGGGCTTAAAGAACAACAGTTCAGAGACTAGACCAGTTTGGTGCCACAGAGCACCAAGAACTGCTGTGTCCTTCGATATGCACCATCTCCTTTATCCTCATGACAGGTCTATGGGATGGTGATATTACCTCTAACTTGGGCTCAAGGGTGTTAGATAATTTGCTTAAAGCAACCCAGAGAGGATTTGAACTCAAGGCTGGCTGATCTCAAAGCATAACCATCTAACCTAGGCCACCCTATCTCTGAATCCTGTCAAATATTAAAAATGATGTCCGATTGGCTGAAGAGAGAGGCCACAGAGCCTCAAATCATCCATTTCTGTCTTCTTCTGAACCTCAGCTTCATTCTTTGATGTTATATTTCCAGAAGGGTGTGGACACACACATTCCATAGCAGTCCAGCTGAGGTCTCATCTGTGGCACTAACAACTATTAAAGGCATTTTGTGAATCAATTTGCCGAGCTATTGAGTCTCGGCCTCTCAGGGCAGGAGGCATTTATCATCTGCTCAGTCTGTGACCCTCCACAGTCGTCCTGGCTAAGAGGGCTGGACAACTAGAGGGGCAGCAACTGCTGGGTTCATCGGATTTCTAGAGTTTCTGCCTTGCGCTTTGGGTTGAATTATGTGTGTGTTACTTGTATGAGGAGTGCTTTGCTGCTTTGTCGTGTTCAGTCTGCTTGGGGCGATGTGGCCATTTCTAACCTTATGAAAGGTTAGGAGATATGGTATAACCTCACTGAGAACCAGAATTGTTTCCCTGAGAAATTTTATCCTTTAAATTAAATAGAACAAAATAGTCCTTTTTGGACAAGATAAAACAATGAAGATATTTTTAGGCTTTTTTTTTTTAAATCTAAGGGAACAAGTTTTCACCTGATAAAGCATATGAATACAAATTTAGATATGAGACTCTCCCAAAACACACGCACACACATATACACACGTGCACAGGAGCAATCTCCGTCTCTTCCCACCCCCATACCCCCATTGCTTCCCCCCCCCAAAAAAAAAAAAAAAAAAAACACAGAGGATAGTACTGTGAAGGAGAGTGGATATCATTTTGGTAAGTTTGAGTAGTATGACGGCAGGAGTCAGGATGATTAGCCTGGCTAAAGTTCCAGCATTTCTGACCCCTGTGGTGGACTTTGGGGATAACTTACTGACTTCCAGCCACTTGGCCTGCTGTTCTTTGCAAAAGCTCAGTTTCTGTAGTTTTAACTTATTTTTCATTAACATTGCATTTATTTTCTCCCCCAGGCCATTTATCTTATACCAGCCATCTTGTTTATTTTCTCTCTGCAGACCTGCCACCTTTGGGACTAAAGGAAAACATTGCAGAGAGAGGAATCCAGAAAGGCTCAGGTGAACTCTACAGACATAGCAGTATGTTTATAAACTAGCTGCGCATCTCAGGCCCACTGATGTGCCTCCCACCCTAAACACAGAGGGGAGGGCTGGGGGAAGTCCAAAAGAGAATGAAAGGTGACTTACAGTGGATTTTGAAGTCCTTGTACTGTCTGTCTTCAATTGCTACCACGTACAAAGCTGCCCGGTCTGGAAACATAAGCCCTCCAGGTTTCTGTTGATGAATTGTGGGGAAATGGGTCTCGTAATCTATTCACCTGACAAAGACATCACATTTTGAACTGCACATAGAGTTACCAGACAGGCATCTCCTTGCCAACATTTCTCATTCAGCAGACTGTCACCTTGGCTATTTAGGGCTCAGCTGGCAGTGCTCACTTTTTATTTTATAGTAAGGAGAATTGAGAGACCCAGATGGAAACAATAAAGCAAATAAAGTGGGAGAAGGTAAGTCCACTGAGGAATAGTGGAAGGTGGTATGACCTTTTAGCCTAGAGAAGCCAAGGTCAGAAGCACTCTCAGCTCTCTGGCAGCCATGCAACCCTAAGTATTTGTTGACTATAATAAACTTTTGTCTTGACAACACTGAATGGGTTTCAATTGTGGTGAAAGAAACCAAGGTTAGACCTACAGAAGAATATTGTGACAGTTAGACATATTATGCCCAGGAACCATCATTCTGTTCCCTGAAACAGACCTTGGTTAAAGAGACGTGACGTTATCTTCTAGCCCAGGACCCCATATTCTTCTAGGCTGTAGGTCAGGGGTAGAACAGCAAGGTAGCCAGAGACCAATAAGGGGAGAGCATGCAGGACACTTACCAGCCATTTGTCCCTGGCAAAGATGACCGTGTTGAGCATTGACTCATAGAAGAGGCAGTAGCCCATCCACTCGCTGATGATGATGTCTACCTTCTCCACAGGCAGCTCCACCTCTTCCACTTTACCCTTAAATATGGTGATAACTGGAAAATACGAACCCCAAGGCCATACTTTGCAGGGCTTTATCTAAAGGTTTTAGCCTGTTTCTGATTCTATGTTTAGGGTGGGACATAACTCACCCTCTACCATGCTAGTTTATACAAAGTGAATTGAAAGCTACTTGCACATTTTCTCCCTAAAATGTAGTGAGCAATTACTATGTGGTGGACTAAACCCACGACATGCACCATATTACATATTTCTCCCAACAACTTTATGAAGTAAACACTTTATTCTTATTTAGAACTAAGGAAATTGAGGCTTACAGAGGTTATATGTGGCCATGGAAATAGGGCCACGGTCTGATATGCCATGACTCTAACACTCTTCTCATGACCCTCACCCTATGTTAGAGTCCATGATGATTCAAACTCAGAGAAGGCTGGAGTGATGACTCTATTGCTCTTGCATATGTTCACAACCAGATTCACTCCCCAGTGGATTCATGAGGGAGACAACATAGTGTTTTGACAAGAATATGGGCTCTGCAGTCAGAAAAACCTGGGTTTGTGGTAAGTGCTGGATAATCTCATTATTACCTGTATTACTACTTTCCACAAGTTACTTGACCAAACCAAACTCCAATTCTCTAAAGAACAGCCCAAAAGAACATCTACGTAACAGGTGGTTGTACTGACAAAATGAAATAACACATATGAAGGCCAGGCTCAGAGCCAGGCCTCAGCAGAAGGTAGACATTTTCTGACATTTTCTTCTTGCTGACCAGAGAGAAGGAGGGGATGGGCCGTGACAAAGCCCCTGCTCTAAATGGCTTTTGATAATGAGTCACTTCTAAGACCTCCCAAGACCTGTGGCAGGAGAAACTTGTTAGTTGGGTTTTTGATCATTTTACATACACATACATCTAATTTTGGGGTCTCTCTTTGTATTCATTGTTGTAAAGATCAAAGCAAAAGCTCTCTTGGATGTCACTGTGAAATTGACAGGATGATGTATTGGTTGGTTGATTCCATCTGAACATTTCTTCTGGAAGGTTACCCATATTTGTGCTCTGAAACCCTCTTTCTGCACTATCTTCTGAAAAATTACACAATGCCTGAGCTTTGCTGTGAACGTTGAACAATGACCTGTATTCTGGAGTTATAATAAAATTCAAAACTCACATCTGCTCTGAATCTGAGTTTCACAAAAATTAATTTGGCTTGGAGACTTCTAGATGGCAAAGGGTCCACAGGTCACTGGTTTTATTTCCTGTCTTCACAGTGATAATGCAGGTGGGTGATGGAGTGCCCATTAGCAACCTCTAATGATGTTCTACTTTCCAATATTTGGTATTTCATTAAGGCCTAATCAGATAAGGCCTACTCCATAAAGAATCAGACACCTGGCAGATGTACACTGGCCCAGGTCATTCTCCACTGAGGCCTAGGCTCATGTGACCCTCCTGGTTACTGCTCAGAAGCTCTACCCCCAAGAAGAAAGAGCAGGAAGAGCAATCTTGTTCAAAGGGTTAGAAGGGGTGGAAGGAGTAGGCATTAATATTCTGCTTCTCTGGGGGCTCTGAGAGCCATGAGCAGGAACTCAGTCCAGGGTAGGGCCCAGAAAGCACCAAGAGAATTCACAAGAAGACAAAGTAAAGGGCTTTTGAAAATGCAAATAGAGTGCCAGTTTATTTCTTATTCTGAAAACACACACACACACACACACACACACACACACACACACAAAAAAAAAAAAACACACAAAAACCACACTGACAAATATGCCTGATCCACCTGCTTAGTTATTTGTGTGCAAAGCCACTCTTGTCTTGTTTTTTTGGTTTTTTTTTGTTTTTTTAAACATTTTTAAGGTGTTTCAGTGGCCTTTCTTTCTTTTCTCTGTGCGCATTTCTTGAAGGCTCTTCACTAATGTCTGCACATATCCATGGGCACAAACATTCAAACATTGTGAATGAATGAGTGAGTGAGTGAGTGAGTGAGTGAGTGAGTGAGTGAATGGGTTAGATCACAGTCTCCCAGTGGCCCAGGAAGATATCTTCTGCCTTGGTGCCTAGTGCAAGGTTCCCCAGGATTATTCCATGGACTAGACTTCAGTAGGACTGCAAGCAGCAGAAATGGACAAGGACTTATAGTTTAGTCCGACAGATAGGTACGTATAGGACATTCCTTGAGTGCCCCCAGAGTGAGTGAACACTGCCCCTGTTCTCAACACTAGACCTCTTATCCATTTGTTCCTATAGATACAAAGATGCAGAGATACAAAGAGACAGTAGATCACAGAACAGCAAAAAGCATACTGTTTCTGCTTACAAAAAAGGCAGAAGGAATCAATTAACCCATAAAACACTCAGCAATCTGTGCTTCCGTTCATTAAACATTGCCTTTCTGCATCCAAACATTTCTCAGAGCTGTGCCCCCCACTTGGCACAGTGAGTGGATGGCTCCTTTGTGAAAGGAAAAAGACACACCACCCTTCAGTCCAGTTGTGGACTAGATTTCACACCCCAGTTATCCCCTCACCCAGTTGCTTTTGTGCAGCGCCCAACCTGCACAACCTCATACTGGGTCCTGGAGGCAGTCAACTTATGCTCTTGTTTCAGCTGACAACCTTGATTAAATAGTTTCTCTTTTGGGGGGGCCTTGGTTTCCTCATTTGGTGCCTAGTGCAAGGTTCTCTAGGACAATTCCATGGACTAGATAGACTCCATGGGAATGGAGTTCATGAATGGGGGGAGAGGAGGAGGGAAGGAGGAAGATTGAATCTAAAAATCCCTAAGATATTTTGCAGCTTCAAAATGCTTTGATTTTTCAAATATGTGTTGAGCATGTGTAAGGTATTCTACGAATTTGGGGAATACCACACATCAATAAAGAACCAGTGGCTGCAATGTCCAGTTTGACTTTGATTTGAACCAATTTCAAGCATGATTTTTTTTTTTTAAAGAGGCCACATTGTTTCTATGGACCCAAATACAATTGCCCAGCGGTGTCATCAGAGGTAGTCTCACCCAATTTTTACTTAAACTATGAGATTCAGTTTCCCAATCGGCAAAATGATAGCTCTTTATGGCAATTAGTTAGGAGTTATTGGCCAGTGTATGGTATAAGGCTGACTCAAAGAACTCTATGTGTACACAGTGCTCCATGGCAAGCCTTTTCAAAGGGGATCTTAGTTGCTGATATCAGGGTTCTGAGCAGCAATAGGCTGCAGAGCCTCACTCTTAATCTGGATCCAACATCACAAACACTGTGTCAACTCAAGTTTGTTTTGAGATCACTCTCTAGAGCTATATCTTTATTCTGTAAGGATGATGGAAAGTTTGTTCCACCAGTGGTGACAGAACCCTGGCTTGTAAAGTTTAGAATGATTAATCATAATTAAATACACAACAGGAGGCAATATACTCCAAATAGGGAGATTTCCCCCCTGCAACTCCAAGTTTACAAATTAGGCAACTATATATATAGTTGTTTTTAGTGAGATTATTTTTTCTTTTTGGCTTGAGTGGTTATTACATAAATGTAGTCATTCTAATTCATGGTCATTGGTTTAACCGTTTAGGGTTTGTTGTTTTTTGTTTGTTTGTTTGTTTTAATGCTTTTATTGTTGTTTTATAAGACAGGTCAGCCAGATCTCATTTGAGCCTCCAGTATGTTCATGAGAGTAAGTGGTCCCTCATGGTCCATCTGAGTGGTTTCCCCACTGTAGACTCCTTACTGTTTCCCAAAACAGATCTTGTCCCACAGAAGAGTGGGCATGAGGGTCTTGAGTGGGAGGACAGGGAGCACGTGATGAGGCAGCGGAGCCTCCGGAACACTACCCTCATCTCAGCACAGCCACTCACTGCCCTCCACACCCTCACTATGCTTCTTACACACCTATTGAAAATATTTTGGCAACAGCCACACTGCCTGCCTTGCACCTTCTGAGGACCTGACTCACCTCTAGCCTCTGGTCTCCTCTTAATAGTATTTCAGCTTCCTATTTCCAGGATCTAGCAGAGCATTTGACTCCTCAAAAATATTCAAAGATTATGAATGAGTGAATAAGTGAATGAATGAATAATCAACTTTGGGGGGGAAAAGGGGTATTGAATTCAGAGACAAAAGATCTTTAAACTAGTCTAATTATGATGGCAAAAAAAAATTATCAGTATTTGAATAGCACCTTACACGGTGATTTTACATGTATTGTCTACATAATCCTCACAGTTACCCGTGAGGTTGGTTTCATTTTTCCATTTGTTCTATTTGAGAGAACTGGAGTTTACAGAAGTCAAAAGGTACAAGTCACCAACCTCCCTGAGATTCCTTTTCTTTATCTGCAAATGATCAGACAATCCAGCTCACCATGGGATTGTTGTGAATGCCACAAGAAATCAGAGAAGGCCAAGGACAACCCATTCTTCCCCTAAAGGTTGGTGGGGATGGTTGGTAGGGTGAGAAGAGGGGGAATCATTGTAGAGGTAGAACCCATCAGCTCACCTTGGTTTTCCACCCTCATCTTCTCCAGGGACCAGACACATGGATAAACCCCTTACAAGGTCAAACCCACCCCTATTTGTAAGCCAGTGATGATGGAAGAAATAGAATACCAACATCATTACTCTCAATATCTGATGACACTTGGGATATATCCTGCAGGAAACAGACTCCATAATGGAGTGGCATCAAGGAGGCCTAGGTGCTATGTATACTCAATATAATAGAAACTTAAATATGGTTCCCCTTTCTCTTCCCAAGTCCTCTATTCAACCAAAAACATAGGGCCTGAGCTTCTGCCTTGTCAGTGCATAATCTATCTGGCTTCATATCCTAGCCTGGTTGGCTTCCTTGAGGGCTGAGAGCCTAGTCAGCTTAGCTAGAGCTCTTAGCTTTGGCCAGAGCCCTTCCCTGGCCAGAGCTTCTGCTTGGCACATCTGTTCCCCTAAGCACTGACTGTTCTAACACTCAGGTAATCAAACCCATGCCACAACTCATCCCTACCCCAAGTTATCATCAACCACTTAGAACCCCTAGCA